CTTTCCAACCCACATATGAAGGTAGGACAATTAAGTTTGCGAACTCATCCTAGAAAAAGTGCTACATACGTCATTGCTGAATATCACTATGGTCATCTTTGAAGTACTCCCCTTGGGAAGCTATGCACTGACGCCAGCACCTAGTCCACCCTTCAAAGCAATTTTGGAACTCTTTTTCTGGAGTGGCCCTCAGAGCTGTCATCGTATTACCATTGATGTCCTGAATGTCAGCAAAATGTCTTCCTTTTAATATTTCCTTTATCTTCAGGTAAAGAAAGAAGTCATTGGGGTCCAGATCAGGTGAGTAGGGAGGGTGTTCCAATACAATTATTTGTTTACTGGCTGAAACTCCCTCACTGACAGTGCCACGTGAGCTGATACATTGTCATGATACAAGAGCCATGAATTGTTGGCGAAAAGTTCAGATCGTCTAATGTTTTCACGCAGCCTTTTCAGCACTTCCAAATAGTAAACTTGGTAACTGTTTGTCCAGTTGGTACAAATTCATAATGAATAATCCCTCTGATACCAAAAAAGGTTAGCAACATCGTTTTGACTCTTGATTTGGACTGATGGAACGTTTTTGGTTGTGGAGAACTGGCTGACTTCCATTGTGCACTTTGATGCTTTGTTTCAGGGTCGTATTGGTACACGCATGTTTTATCACCAATGATAACATAGCCCAAAACATTGCCTTGCCTGTCCAAAAGGTCTTGGCAAACTTCCATTCTCCTTTGCTTTTGTTCATCAGTGAGCTCCTTTGGGACGATTTTTGCACACACCTTTCTCATGCCAAGATTTTCAGTTAAGATTTTCCTAACTGTTTCTTTATCAATGTTTACTTAGTCTACTATGCTCTCACAGTCAGCTGATGATTTTGATGCACAATTCAATGAATTTTTGTAATGTTTTAGTCAGTTCTGCTCATTACTGGCCACCTTGACCTCTCTTCATCAGTGACGCATTCTCTCCCCCTCAGAAAAACGTTAAATCTATTTGTACACTGCCATTTTCTTCATGGCATTATCCCCATAAACTTGGACTAACATGTCCCTGATTTCACTTCCACTCTTGGCAAGTTTAACAAGAAATTTAGTGTTTGTTTGTTGCTCTAATTCAAGCTCAGGCATTCTCGCGACTGCACATAAAAACACTCAACAATAATGAACGCCACTCAGCAAGACACCGCCACGCGTTGACATGAACACAGCTGTGAGACACTGGTATACCAAGGTTATGAAACTTTACCACGCTGTTTGTACAGTGCTGCCAATGTAAGTGCATGGTGGCAAGTTCACGACCTTAATTGTCAGACCTCATACATCTTCTATTTAACATTGTACAGCTTTTGACAATATTGGTTGTTAAAGAAGATGAGAAGCAAATAGAGCTCTCATATGCAGCTGATAGAAATGAAAACTGGTACAACTACTTTGGAAAACTGCATGGCAGTATTGATTAAAGTTAAATATACTCTTACCCCATGGATAAGTATATATTATACCTGACAGAAATGCCTATATGTGTTCACCAAAAGACATATACAAGTTTGTTCATAGCAAATTATTACATCACCTGTAAAAATGAATAAGTAAATTGTGACAGTGTTATACCCAAACAGTGGACTAACATAGTAATGAAAGTGAATTGGATGGTAGCTAGACTGTGGGGGTGATCACATTGTAGTGTATACAGTTGTCAAATTATACCTGAAACTTACGTAATAAAATAGTTTTTAAAAAAAGGAAAAAAAGAAAGTGAGTGAACTGTTGCCACAAATATCGTGTTTAGAAATAGAAGCCGAACAGAAAAGAATATGTTATGTACAATGCCACTTATATAAAATTCAAAAACAGATAACAATAACCTATAATATTAGAAGTCAGGATAGTAGTTTCCTTTAGAGAAGAGGATAAGAATATTGACTGGGTAAGGGTGGGAAATAGGATTCTGAGTGCCTTGTATTGCTTTTCTTCTATTGCTTGTTTTTTTATTGTATTTCTTGACCTAGGTAGAGGTTTCATAGCTATGTTCACTTCATTATAATTCATAAAAGACACATCTATAATTTGTGTATTTTCTCTATGTATACTTCAATAAAGTATTTATTTAAAAATTAAAAACTTATTTCTGACAAAAGAAATTTATATAAAATGAATCAATTCATATATATATATATATATATATATATATATAGTTAAAATACATAGAATCCAGGACCTTATTGAATGGGGAAACACTAGAGGCGTTAGTACTAAAGTCAGAAAGAAAGCAAGGATGCTCACTCTCTCCACTATTTTTAACACTATTGGATTTTTGGTAATGTGTTTAGACAAGTACAAACAATTAAAGGAAGAAAAATTGGAAAGGAAGAAGTAAAATACTCTCTATTTTGGATTATTTGATAATGTACCTGGAATGCCTAAGAAAATCAACTTTTAAATGAATATAAATAATAAAAGAATTTAGAGGGTAGCATGCTAAACTCCAACCATAGAAACAATACCCTCTTAGAAGAGACAATGAAGAGAAGATTCCACATAAAACAGCAACCAAATATTCAGAATAATTAACTATAAAATTAACAAGAAAAATCTATATATGGAAGACTTTCAAACTTTCTGAAAAGATGTAAAAGTATACTTGAATAAGTGAAGGGCATTCTTTGCTCTTGGATACGACGACTCATTTTTTCTTCTATTCCCTGAAGTTTACTATTTTTAAAAAATTTTCTAGGGTTAAATGCTTATATCACTAAACAAAAATTTTTCATCTTTTCATATATATTTATAAAACTATAAATTTCTCTCTTGAAATTTATATCTTGAGATTTATATATTTGTGAAATCTGTATTTCACAAGTTTCAATATGAGCCATTTTTGTTCAGTTCTATTTCATTTTATTATGATTTCTTCTTTACTATTAATTATTTAGACATATATTTTTTAGTTTACAAAACACTTTTGTCAGTGAGTTCTAATTTTATTTTACTGTTGTTAGGGAACATAGTATCTATGATTTTGATTGTTATTTAATAATTAATTTAACAGATATTTATCAGATATCTATTTTCTTTAGCTACTGCTCCAGGTTCTGATGATATAATAGTAAAGAAGTCACCCTACTTCTGTGCCTTTATGGTACTTACATTCTATTATGAGAGATATATATTTTAAATTATATATATATAATATATAATTATACAAAATATACAAATATATAATATATATTTGTGGTTTGGGTTATTGTTTTTTGGTATGGTCAGACACGATTGCAGAATGATCTTGTTTTTGCCTTGATCCATCATGGTCACAGAGTGACCTTGTCTGATATCTATTAGGTGTTAGGGACTGCTTTTCTCTGTCTCAGTTCTCTAAGTGATTCTAATGTCTTTTCATATTTCTTGTATTATAATCTTGTATATTTATCTCAATAATTTATGACATTTTGAGGTTCAGTATTTTATATTTTGTGATCTACTGAGCATATTGCTAGTAATATTTTACAACCACCACCTTTCAGATGTTTATTTTGAAAAAATATAATGGCATTTAAAAATACTGTTTCATTAAATCTTTGGGTTCAGATTATCAAAGGTTATATTATTCCTTTTCTTAAGTCAGATTTTCCAAACTTTGTAGATTTACAAATCTTGTTTCCATATACTCTATAGGAATTTTTTCCTCATACTTTACATAGGAATTGGTTTTATTGTTCACCATTTTCTCTGCAATGTAAAAAATAATTGATTTGAAATTAAAACAAATCTTAGTATGGTATATATGACTTTATATACATTTTTTAAAGAAATAATCTCTAAATTTACACTTAATTTTGACTTTTTAACTTTAGCAAGTCATTATGCCATTTACTTTAATTTAATATGTAATTAAACTCAAATATTTTGTCAACTAAATTTTAAAATTTATTGTGTATGGTTTAATAACAAAACATTGAAGTATATGTTATAACTTCAAAAATAAATATACGTTGCTTTCCTGACCTGGTATTTGATTTTTTTTTATTCCCTGTTAAAACTTAGTTGGTTTGTTTTTTTTTTCTGTTCTGTTATAATGTTGAGGTGTGTGATTAGGTCTCATCCTAGTAGAGTGCTATGTAGGAGTCGCTTATAACTACCACTGTATTTTCTGTTTTACCACACTGGTTTTTTGGCATTACTGAAACATTGCATTGTATAAGAATTTTCATCAGAGAAATACTACCAATGGGTTTCTATAAAGTCACCTTAAAGAAAATCCATGGGAAATATCATTGTTTGAACATTGGCCTATTTTTATCCTCCCTGGTTTTTTTTTTTAACCAATGAAAGATTATTTAAAGAAACATAACTCAGAATCATATTATAGTAAAAATCATCAGCATGGCTAGCTAGCACTGGTTAGCTGAATGACTGGCTCTTGAATGTGATCTTATAATCATCTGTTTTAGATTCTTCTATTTTAAAATGAAGGACATATATTTTAATTGTCTTATTTACTGATTTATAAACAAATATCAGCCATTTTTAATGATGTGAATCTCTAGAATACCTTTGTGAACTTCTGAGTTTGAAATGCTTTTATAAGTCAAACAAAAAATAGAATTTTATATAATGAAACTTAATGCCAAATTTGTGGCCACATTTTTCAAGTGCATAGGACTGAATGGCATTCATTATGCATAGTTTATTAAAGTTATTTCATCCTTTATTTCTATTCCTTTTGTTCCAATTTTATTTATTTTTATGTTGTGTCATGTATATTTACATATTTCCTCAATTCCTCTTTGGAATGAAGCAGATTTAATTGGCAAATATTTATATTGTAGTAGTTTATTAATTTTATTAAATGTAGAAAACGTATTCAGGATCTGCAAACACTGTTATTCTAAATAAAGTTGTATTATGTAGTATGATTTTATTGTATTAGCATTAAACTTCATTTGGAACAAGTTAAAATTAATGTTCAATTACAAAAATGATGGTTCTAATGTTTTCCAGCTGCTAATAGGTTATGAAAATGGTACTGTAGTATTCTGGGACCTGAAATCTAAAAGAGCTGAACTGAGAGTTTATTATGACGAGGTAAGTGATTTCTGCTGATACATTTGAAAAAGTATTGTGACTTTGTGCCTGTTTTAGACTTTTAAATTTTATATATTACCAATACTTTTATCATTAGAAAACTGCCTGTTTCTGACTCAGTGGCTTATACTGCCTGCTGGTATTTGCACAAGTTCCAACTCTGGGTTGTTCTCCTGAATGGGAATTCTGTCTTGACTACTCATTTTTGTGCCCTTTTTGGCATTTTATATACTTTTGTGCCTATTACCTGTACTGTATCTCCATCTTCATCTGTACTCCTTTTCCTTGTTTTAGGGTCCATGCTTTTGTCTTGATTGATTGTTCTTAAGGTCTCTAAAGACACTATTTACACCTTCCTTAGAAAATTCTTTTGCTGTGGAAGAAAGTTTAAGTGGTCAGTTTGAATGGTCTTGTCTTCTAATACATGCTTTCTGAAAATAAAGAGAGATTTTGTAAACAGTAATACTTATTAAGAGTCAGTAAGATCTTGAAGTAAGTTTTATTGTACATAGTTGAGACTGATTGGGCTTTCATTTAGAGAAAGCAATGAACTCCTATTAATCAAGGAATAGTTTCTGAATTGATACTTCAGCTGTTTACAGATTGACTCTAGGCCATTAATTGTTTCCCTCTTCATAAAAGGTAATGTGAAGACAGTGAGGCTAGGGGCAAAAGTTAAGAAAGGGCAATTACCTCTTGTAGCTGTGAAAATGAAAGTGATTGATCATCTGTGCTCTTAATTAAAATTAAAAAATGGTAGAGTGGGGAGAAATAGGAAAATAACGGTCAACAATCACTGGTATCACTCACACTTAATATCCAAAGAGTGCCAAAGAATTTAAGACAACACTGATACAAAAGGATTTTTAAAAAACAAACAAACCAACAAAAAACCACATTTCTTTTAGAACACTTCCTTTGTGTGCTCCCTCCCACCCCCTCATAACAGTTTAATTTTTAAGTTTTGGTGCTTAAAGATAGCTGAAGGGTTATAAGTAATTTGGTCATGATTGGTGAAAAATACTCTGGCCAGTGATGTTACACAAGTATGCTCTTTAGAGATCAACTTTTGGAGCATCTTGAATCATAAGGAAAGGAGTTAAGCTAAGATTTTCTTTTTGTTAAATACGCAAAATATAAAGATGCGGATGGAGATTGCTTCCTCTCTCAAGATGGGCAGTTAGATAAGAGTCCAAATACCATCTGGGAATTTAGCCAGTTAGAACTAGAGTAGAGGAGCTAAAAATGAAATCCTGAGGAAAATGCTGAGTCAACTAGTTTTCCTATGGCCTTAAATAGTGTGGAAGGAACATTTCTAACCTTAAAAAGCAAGCAAAAGTAATTTTGCAAAGAAATGTTTAAATAAGGATTAACAATGTTTAAGTCAGTAGAATATTACACTACATCTATTTTATACCTAGAAGTCACTTAAAATATTGATTTGTATGGTATATGTATCATTTCCTTTGGTATCTTGCCTTTTTAGTATATCTTTTACTAACAAGATTATCATTTAAAACATAGGGCATTTATTTCTCTACCACTGAACCTTTGAATGGCTCCCAATAGTCAACAAAAGTATTTATCAATATGAGACTTAAGGCCCCAGCACCATCTTTTCCCTTTTGTTTAACTTCCTGCATCTCTCTACAGACTTCTCACACTTCAGACATATTACTTGCTGTCTCCTAAACATGTAATTTATTACTACCTGCAAGCCTTTGTTCCTGCTAATTTCTTACAATGAATTCCCTTCTTTCTTCTTTTGCATATCAAAATCCTATTAATTCTTTAGCCACTGCAAAACTACTTGGACTATTTAACTAGTCCATTAATAGCCATTGATGAGTTGAGAATTTTGTTTTGTCAACCCAAGCTTATTTTAAGACAATTATATGAATTTTATTTCCACATAGCTGTGAAATTTTTGTTGTATTATATTAATATTTCTTCTCAAAAAATCTTTCACAGAGAAACCCCTCAGAGTTTGACCTGAGGCTAACCTTTTAATTCCTTGAGAAACTGCCATTTCTCCTTTTGCCATATTGTTACCCAATTTTTTTAGGTTTCTTTTTCTTTTTTGTTTTCAAGAAATTCAATCACAGCCACTGATTTGACCAAACTGGCTAGTGATTTATCTTCCATATTCTGTTTTCAATCCTTTAAAATTCTTCCTGAATTAGTTGTATTATATTTGACTTTTCAGTAGACCCTTAAAGTCCTATTAAAGAAAAGAGTAGGGTATAAACAAATAAACAGAATATTTATTCATTAAGTCAGTTCAAATGCCAGCTCTTCAAAGCACTGTTTGAAATCCTCCTCTCTAATAACACGTTGGTTTTACATGCCTACTCTGCTGTGTAATAAGTATACTTCCAGTACTTACTTGTTTCAGTTTTGTGTCATAGCTATTATTTTTATATCTGTCTTCTCCAGTAGGTAGACATTTACTGGGATAGGAAGAAGGGTTAGGGCTGGGGACACTTTCTCAGCCCCTACCATTTGTAGAAAGGCAGTCTGAGAGAACTTTAAATTGACTGAGGCTCATCAAAGTTAACATATAGAGGAAGGAAGAAGAAGTGACATTTTCCTTGAGCTAGCTATAAAAGTGAGAAGAAACAAACAAACAAGAAGACAAAGAAGAGTGGGTTTCCCCCCCTCTAACTGCCTCTACTGAACCCTAGCAAAAAAAAAGTCTTCTCTGCCTAGTAATATAGACCAGGGTGAGAGAAAAACATAAGTCCAGGTTTTCATGTTATGTTTTTCACTTAATGAAATCTTACTTATCTTTTGAAGTACAGCTTATATCCTATTTCCTTTATGATATGTCTAATGATTACACTAGCTGTCATTTATCTGTAACACTAATAATACTTGTTGTTTGGAAGTTCATTTATAGCAGCCTTCCCTATCTCGTTGTTTTTTTAAGTTCCTTTAAAGAAAGTATCATGTTGTATACATCTGTTCAGCTTTTATGTCTACTAGAGCTTCTCTCATAGTGCTTAGTACATTACCCAAGTTCCATATATACTTTATTGATTTAGAAAAAATACCAAGGTTGTGGACATATATGATGATGTTAATTGCTTATTCATGCAACAGATTTTACTGAGCACCTACTTTATGCAAGACACTGTGCTACCACTAGGAATAAAAAAATTTAGGAAAATGGAATAATACTTTTTAATTTTATCCAATTCGCAACTACAGAGTGAACCTGTAAATATTAAAAGGTTTTAAACCCTTTTTGCTTCAAATCAATTAAATTGTGCATGTTAGAGGCAATATAGTACAATGATTGAGAATATGTTTTTTGTACAATAGTTAGATAGACCTTGGCTTTGAGTTGTGTGACCTGAGCAAGTATCTCAATCTCTCTAGGCCTATTTTGCCATGTGTAAATTGGAAAAAATAATACCTATTTTATAGGATTAAATGAAATGATGTACATAAAGCGCTTACCATTGGTCTGCCACATAGTAAGCCCTCATATGGCAGCTGTTAAGTAAATTGTTTTTTAAATTGGTTACTTTAAGTGGAACTAGGCCTTTACCTTATCAGAAGCAGTCTTCTGATAACCTATATAAATGATTTCTATATAAATCATTCTATATAATTGATTTTTCAAAGAAGCATTATAATATACAAGGAAGAATAGAATTTACAACAAAAAGTTCTGGAATCTAATAATATTAGGAAATTAACTTAACTTCTTTATCTCAGGAGACGAGTTTTTGTAGCCTTTTATAAGCCTATAAAGGACTGAACCAAAGATAGTATGATCTGGGTCAGAAAAATTACATATGTTTCTTAAGTGTTATTGCTATAATAATTTTATGTCAGAATATTTTTCTTTTGGAATATAGAATGATATAACATATCAACTTCCCCCCTCTACTTGTTTTTATTGTTATTTCATTAGGCTATTCATTCAATTGATTGGCATCATGAGGGCAAGCAGTTCATGTGCAGCCATTCAGATGGTAGCTTGACTTTATGGAACCTGAAAAGCCCAAGTCGTCCTTTCCAGACCACAGTTCCACATGGTAAGAAGTATGCTTTTAAAAGAAACAAACTCTGGAGTTACAGTGCCTTGACTTAAAGTAGGAGAGGTAGTATCAGTGTGTTCGGTAGAAAGAGGTGATAGGACGTAGCTTCTGATTCTAAATGACTTTGATACCTCCTTCAGATCCCCCACATTACTCCCCAAACTTTCTGTACTTTCCTTTTTTCTGCCTATCCACTTTCCTACTTTATAAGTGATACTTATATATAGACCTTTCCAACCAAAAACTGGATAATAGATGGTTGATATATCTGAAGCAGAGTTGATAATAAAGGAAATTGGGCCAATTTTAAGGATTAAGGAGCTAGTGAGAGAAAGTCGATCTGACTTTCAGACCTAATTCCTATTCTGCGTATAATCTGTATTCTAGTTCTCCCATTTATTTCCATTTCTGCCATTTGATTTCACTAAATTATGAGGACTAATGGTATTATTATATATTGTATTTATCTTATCTTTTTCACTGAAAAGAGGTACTTAGCATTTATGTTGGAGCTGCACACCTAACTGGACAGAATAAAAAGTGTAAATGTATGAATAGCTTTTATTCAGATGACTATATTATATTCTTTGTTTTTTTTCTTTTATTTGGGAATTGGGGGAGGGAACAGCGTTGGGGAATCAGGGAAGGGGAACAGACAAGTTGCTGTCCTTTGGTTCTTCAGTCTAGTTGTGGAGGACGTCGCTTCACTGGCCCATGTTGGTATTATCTTTGTGCTCTTCCTGTGTGAGGAAGTCGCTCACTTGCCATTGGGCGGTGGCTCATGTCAGCTCACGCCCACTGCCGGCCAGCCCCACTGCCAGCCAGCCCCATTGCAACCTACACTGTTGCCGGTGACTCACTCCAGGTTGAGCTGTTGTTCACCACCTTAGCTGTAGAGGGCGCAGCGTCGCTGGCCCTCATATGTGGGATCCGAACCAGAGCCCTACTGTTCAGAGCTGGTGTCCCAAGCCAACTCCCAACCAACTTGCCACTCAGTCGGGCCGTGGCAGGTGTTTTAAAAAGATACTAAGAGGCAGCTGAGTGGCTCAGTTGGTTAAGAGCTCGCTCAAGAGTGTGAGCTCTGAGCAATAGGGTTGCCGGTTTGATTCACAGCCCGAGTTGAGCTGCCTGCTGCTGAACTGCCAACAGGTGGCAGGAGGGCTCAGCTAAATAAATAAATAAATAAATAAATAAANGAGCTGTTGTTCACCATTTTAGCTGTAGAGGATGCAGCCTCACTGGCCCTCATGTGGGATCCAAACCGGGGTCCTGCTGCTCAGAGCTGGTGTCCCAAGCCAACTCTTAACCAATGTGCCACTCGGCCAGCCCTATTATTTTCAAGACTATTGCTGATGACCTGAGTTTCATGTTTACGAGTACATCACACTTTTGGTTGTTTCTAAGAGCAGAGAGGTCAAAACCTAGCAATTAATCAAACACATTCTATTTTATAGTTTCTAGGAATTTATTATAGTATCACATTTAGAAAATACTGGTATTTTTTTAATAATTGGTGACTTATAAATCACAAGATGGAATTATTTTATCACGTGTTGGTCTGCCATGTTTTGTACCACATTTGCATGTTCCATCTGCAAATGATTAATACATTTAACCTAGGTGCTTTACCAAGAGATTACATTTAGACACTTACTTGAGATGTTTTATTTAAAGATTGCCATTATAGAAACCTTGGCTAGGCATTGCTATATGTCCACTCAGGTTTAATTATTGTTTCTATGGTGGAGTCTCCTCCCCTCCACCCCCCCAAAAAAAATTCTTATGCCTTTTATTTTCAAATGTGTAATATAATTTATTCATAAATTTTCTATTTACTTCTTTCTTTTCAACAGTCAATTTCTATACAAGTTCTTTTTTACTTGATTGGATATTTGATACTTGCATATGTTTTACCATATCCATATTTATTTTATCAGTTTAAGTTGTTCTTTATAATTCTGTTTTCCTTTGAAAGAGATGAAGTTCTGTTCACAAGTTATTGAAAACATCAGCATCTGTGTCTCTCATAACATATAAATCAAATTAAATTCCTGCTGGTCACAATGACATTGTTAAGCCTGTGTCAGTGATTTTTGACAGTAGAGGCATCCATTGTCATTTCTATATACATTGTTTGTGTTCATTTTGTTCCCTTTTATTTCATCTATTTTTAATTTCTAAAATAAACAAATTTCTCTAAGTACCACTTCAGCTGTATTCTATAAATTTTGATATGTAATTTAATTAATAATATATAGTTTTCATTAATATTCAGTTTGAGGTATTTTCTAATCCCTATTGTAATTCTCCCTTTTATCTATGAGTTATTTAAACATGTGATTTCTAACTTCTAAAAAATGTTTGTAGGGCTGGCTGAGTGGCGCATTGGTTAAGAACTGGCTTGGGAAGCCTGAGGACCCTGGTTCGGATCCCACATATGAGGGCCAGTGACACTGTCCTCTATAGCTAAGATGCTGAACAACAGCTCAACCTGGTGTTGAGCTTCCGAGAGTCGCCCATGACGGAGTAGGCTGCAGCCCCTGCTTTAGTGGGTTGCCATGGGCTACCATGTGTAGCCAGCAGCCGGCGTGAGCGGCTAGCAGCCGCTTGAGCGGTGTCCAGAAGCCGGCGACTGATCTGCCTCACCCGGAAAGAGCACAATGATGGTGCCAGTGAAGCAACGTCCTCCACAACTAGACTGAAGAACAAAAAAAAGACAGCAAGTTGTCTGTTCCCCTTCCCCCAATTCCCCAGTGCTGTTTCCATCCCCCCAATTAAAAAAAGTTTGTAGATTTTAATTTTTATTTTAGTCAGAGAAAGTGGCTGATACTAGTTCTACAGAATTTACTGGGATATGCTTTATAATTAGACATACACACTTAATTACTATAAAGTTCCAGGTGTTTTTGGCTTTGGTGTTAGAGTAATGCTGGCCTCATAGAATGAATTAGGAAATATGGCCTCTTTGTCTATCCTCTGAAAGAGATTGTAGAGAATTATTATAATTTCTTACTTAAATGTTTCATACAACCCATCTGGGCCTGATGTTTTCTGTTTCGGAAGGTTATTGATTTAATTTCTTTAATAGATATAGGCCTATTCAGATTGTCTCTTTCTTCTCGTGTGAGTTTTGGCAGATTGTGTCTTTTAAGGATTAGTTTATTTAATCTAAATTATCAAATCTGTGGGCATAGAGTTGTTCATAGTATTTCTTTATTATCCTTTTTATGTCCATGGGATCTGTAGTGGACTTAATGAAAATGCCTTTGCTGCTTCCCACAAATTTTGATAAGTTGTGTTTTCATTTAGTCCAAGATATTTTCAAATTTCTTTTGAGGTTTCTCCTTTGACTGTTGTGTTCTTTAGAAGTATGTTGTTTAATCTCCACATAGATATAGAAAGCTGGGAGACACATCATTACCACTCATACAACAACTAAAAGCTGGATAAAGTGCAAATTAATAACTTTTATTGAACTCATGAGAGAAATACAGTGGCAGGGCAAACAGCTAATTTAAAAATCTGGGGGGGAAAAGGTACCTGCAGGGAGGGATAAGACCTAAGCCTTTGCTTGTGTAGAGCAGATATTGTTGGATGCCACTAACATGAATAGAAAGATGTAGCAAACACTTTTTTTGATGACTTGCTAAAGGCTAAGTATGGGCTAATGTGAAAGTATGAAGTCACTTGAGGCTACAAAAGTAAGGTCTGTGCACTGTCTTGCAGCATTTTCCTCCATGAACCCTACCAAGCAACCTCAGGGAAAGTCAGAGAGGATCCTAAGAAAGCTTACCTTAGGGCTCTGGCTGGGGAAAAGAAACAGCAGTCTCAGCCAAATCTCCCCTAATTTCCACATTACAATTATGTGCATATTATTTTATACAATGGCTTCTTAAGTCAGACAAGAGAAGATTGGAGAAGAAATATGCAGCTATACTGTCTTTTATAATTATCTACATAATTACCTTTACTGCTACTCTTTGTTTTTAGCACCATTTTTTTTTCCTAATAAAGTCAGTTGTTAATTATATTGGGGCTCCTTGTATGTGATGAGTCATTTTTCTCTTGCTGCCTTCAAGATTTTCTTTTTGGCTTTAAGCATTTTTATTGTGATGTGTCTGGGAGTCAATTTCTTTGCTTTTATCCTACGTGGAATTCATTGAGGTTCTTGGGTGTGTAGATAATGCTTTTCATCAAATTTAGAAAGTTTTCAACCATTATTTTATGAATATTTTCCTCTCCTTATTGTACTTCCATTATACATATGTTGGTGTGATTAATGGTATTCTAAATTTCTTTGAGACTATTAATTTATCGTCATTCTTTTTTCCTCTTTGTTTTTCCTGCACTGTTGCAATAATCTCCTACTTATTTTTCCAGCATCAGTATCTTATACCTCAAAATTGCTCTATTAAATGAAGCCATACTAATATTTCTGAAACATTGTTTTACCCACTTCACTTCCCAACACGAAAGCTTCCAATAATTGTCCAGTGCCTATATTGCAAATCAGTTTTCTAGATTGCCATTGTCTGGCTCTTTTATACCTCATTAACATTATTTCACTATCTTTCTACATGAATCTTTTAATCTACCCAAATTGGCTTATCCATTACTCCCTTGACACACTAGGCATAGAATTATAAGCAAAATCATAAATAGGAAGATAAGTATGTTAGATACAGAAGTAGCTTTACTCCCATTTCATAATCTTTTTGATTCCTTATTCAAAATCTTATGGAAGCTAAACTACATAACCCTTCCCCTACAAGACAATTTTTATGCAAATAAAGTTACTTTTTAAAATCATGAAATGCACCATATGTATTCATTATCTAATGAACTTTTCTTTAAATGAATTTGATGAAAGTGCAATGATTTTATAGTTTATCATAAGCTTTAAATAGCATTTTTTTTGCCTATTAAAGGGGTTTGCTTGTATTATAGATAAAATTTTGAGCCTAGTATGGATTTTCATAATAATATAATTTCATTGTGTAGATAAATATGTGTGTGTCTTCAAAAATCATTTATCTTGAAACTTAAATAATTAAAATAACCTTACATGAGACTAGATTTATATGTGGAAAATGTAAAGTAATACAAATTTGGTAAGTTTACAAATAACTAGAATTCAATAAATTGTTTACAAATTCAACAAAAATGTTAAAATGCATACATGTTTATCCTATTATGAAAAACATGTAATTACATTATTCTTTTTTCTTTATATTCCTTCAGTCAAATTTTATAATTTTCATGGATGTGTAGAATTTAAGTCAGATTTAATAAAATCCTTTTTCTTTCTTTAGGTAAAAGTCAAAGAGAAGGAAAAAAATCTGAATCTTGTAAACCAATTCTTAAAGTAGAATACAAGACATGTAGAAACAGGTATGCATGTTTACTTTGGGAGATATGGGAAAATATGTAAGAAACAGAGAAAGACAAGTAACTTTAATATTGCTATATTGTTTAAGGTTTTACATAATTATATTAACTGGCTGAGTCCTCTACATTAACAATAAAAGATTTCTTATTGTCTAATAAGCATATGTACAATGATCATTATGAATATTACAAATAATAACTATAATTTTAATTTCTCTATTACTATTCAGATGAGTATTATATACATTAATTTTAAAAATGTAAGACTTTTCGTCCATGCACATTACAAGTAGCCTTCATTTAGTATTATTAAGCAGAGCTAATTACTTATTGGTAATAACCTATCTTCTATGCATTAGGATCTTATATTCTGATGTTGGAAAGATTATAGTTAGTTGGAAAGATAAAGTTATGTATATTGGCATAATACTACAGTATTAAATTTTAATATATTGAAAATTAAAGAAAAATAATATTTAATAAAATTCTAGTATATGTAGCAGTCATATTCTGTACATCAACAGTATTCTTTTTACCTGCAATAATTATTAGTGGCAATATATTCATCAAGAATTACCATAATTCCAAATCTTGCTTAAACTTGAATTTTATTATAACCCAAAGTCTGATAATCCTACTTTGGATTACTTATTTGCTCACACTAGAATGTTTTCTAGGTATCATAAGTTCATTCAATGTTTTGTTTATACCTGCTTCTAAAGGTTTAATAGTATAAAATTATGGTCATTTTTAACCAATTCGTGTGTGTGTGTGTGTGTGTGTGTGTGTGTGTGTGTCTGTATCATTTATCTCTATCTCTATCTCTATAACTTATATAAAATATATATGTGTGTATATCTGTGAAGTTTGCTTGATGTACTAAGATGAAAGAGAATACTGCCCAATTTTGAATCTGTTATGATCTAGTAGCAGAAGTAAGGCCATGAACTTGATGTTTCCATTCAACATGTGAGGTGTTTTATAGGGATATGCTATGAGAGGAGGCAAAATGTCACCTAATCTAGCTTAGAGGAAATGGGGAGAACAGAGAGGAGAGAGATGAGTGAAATTCTTCCTGGGACAGGAGATGCCTGAGATGGTACTTAGGGGATGATAGGATGGTGACAGGCAAAGGGAGGAAAGGGTGCAGGTGGAGAGGAGGTACTTTAGGAATCAACAATTCAAATCAAGGCAGTGCAAGCTAATGATTAAGATCATTGACTTACAGAGTAAGACAATTAAATGACCTTGAAATTTTTTAATTAAAATTTATTGGGGTGACAATGGTTAGCAAAATTACATAGGTTTCAAGTGTACCATTCTGTAATACATCATCTATATATAACATTGTGTGCTCACCACCCAGAGTCAGTTCTCTTTCCATCACCATATATTTGATGCCTTTTACTCTCATCTACCACCGCCCCCCACACACACACACCACCCTCTGGTAACTACTAAAGTATTGTCTGTGTCTATGAGTTTTTGTTAATTTGTTTGTCTTGTTCCTTTGTTGTTTTCAGTTTTATATCCCACATATTGTGAAATCATATGGTTCTCGGCTTTTTCTGTCTGACTTATTTCACTTAGCTTAATAATCTCAAGATCCATCCATGTTGTCACAAATGGCAGTATTTAATCTTTTCTTATGGAAGAGTAGTGTGTCTATACCAGTGTACATATGCCAGATCTTTATGCAATCATCTATCGATGTACACTTTGGTTGTTTCCATGTCTTGGCCACTGTAAATAAAGCTGCATTGAACATCAGAGCACATGTATCTTTATGGATAAGATTTTTTTGGGGTATATACCCAGGAGAGGTATTGCTGAGTCATATGGTAATTTTATTCTTAATTTTTTGAAGAACATCCACACTGTCTTCCATAGTGGCTGCATCAATCTGCATTCCCACCAAGTGTATGAGGGTTCCTTTTTCTCCACAGCCTCTCCAACACTTGTTATTATTTGTCTTGTTTATGATAGCCTTTCTAACTGGTATGAAGTGATATCTAATTGTGGTTTTGATATGCATTTCTCTAATGATTAGTGATGTTGATCATCTTTTCATATATTTATTGGCCATCTGTATGTCCTCTTTGGAGAAATGTCTATTCAGGTCCTCTGTCCATTTTCTAATTGGATTGTTTTTTTGTTGTTGTTGAGTTGTATGAGTTCCTTATATATTTTAGATATTAGCCCCTTATTGGAGGTGGTGTTTGGAAAAATCTTCTCCTATTCAGTTGGTTGCCTCTTTATTTTGTCAATGTTTTTTTTTTGTGTTTTTTTTTTTGCTGTGCAGAAGCTTTTTAGTTTGACATAGTCCCATTCATTTATTTTAGCTTTTACTTCCCTTGCCTTTGAGGTCAAATTCATAAAATGTTATTTGAACCCAAGGTGCAGAAGTTTAGTACCTATGTTTTCTTCTGTGCAGTTTATTGTTTCAGGTCTTATGTTTAGGTCTTTGATCTATTTTGAGTTAATTTTGGTACACGGTGACAGATAGCAGTCTAGTTTCATTCTTTTACACATGGCTTTCCAATTCTCCCATCACCATTTTAAAGAGGCTTTCTTTTCTCCATTGTATGCTTTTGGCTCCTTTGTCAAAAATTATCTGTCCATATTTATGTGGGTTTATTTCTGGGTTTTCAATTCTATTCGATTAGTCTGTATGTCTGTTTTTCTGCCACCACCATGCTGTTTTGATTATTGTTGCTCGTAGTCCAAGCTGAAGTCAGGGAATGCAATACCTCCAGCATTATTCTTCTGTCTTAGGAGTGCTTTGGCTATTCAGGGTCTTTTGTGGTTCCATACAAATCTGATTATTTTTTTTGTTCTATTTCTTTAAAAATTCCCATTGGGATTTTGATGGGGATTGCATTAAATCTGTATGTTGCTTTGAGTAATATGGCCATTTTAACTATGTTAATTCTTCCAATCCATGAACACGGAATGTCTTTCCATTTTTTTGTGTCTTCTTCAGTTTTTTTAAAAAATGTCTTAGAGTTTTCTGTATATAGGTCCTTCATATCCTTGGTTAAGTTTAAGGTATTTTACTCTTTTTGTTGCAATTGCAAAAGGAATTCTTTTATTTTTCTTAGATTTCATTGTAAATGTATAGGAATACAATGGATTTTTTGTACATTGATTTTATAGCCAGCAACTTTACTGTATTTGTTTTTTGTTTCTAATAGCTTTTTCATGGAGTCTTTAGGGTTTTCTATATATAGCATCATCTCATCTGCAAAAAGTGATGATTTAACCTCTTCATTCCCAATTTGGATGCCTCTGGATGCCTCTTATTTTGCTCTCTTGCCTGATTGCTCTGGCTAGGACTTCCAATACTATGTTAAAAAGCAGAGGTGATAGGGGACAACCCTATTTTGTTCCTGAATATAGAGCAAAAGGGCTTCAGTTTTTCACCATTAATTATGATATTCACTGAGGGTTTGTCAAATATAGCCTTTATTATGTTAAGGTATTTTCCTTCTATACCCATTTTATAAGTGTTTTAATCATAAATGGATTTTGTATCTTGTCATATGCTTTTTCTGCATCTATTGATAGAATCATATGATTTTTGTCCTTTATTTTGTTTATGTGGTGTATGACATTGATCAATTTGTGTTTGTTGAGCCATCCTTGTGCCCTTGGGATGAACTCCACTTGATCATGATCTATAATCTTTTTAATGCATTGTTGTAGTCGATTGGCTAGAATTTTGTTTAGGATTTTTGCATCTGTATTCATCAGAGATATAAGAGTAATTCTCTGTAATTCTTTTTTTGTGTTATCCTTACCAGGTTTTGGTATCAGGATAATGTTGGTCTCATACAGTGCGTTAGGGAGCATTGTCTCTTCTTCAGTTTTTTGGAAGAATTTGAGTAGGACAGGTATTAGATCCTCTTTGAACCTAATGAAACCATCTGGTCCTAGACTTTTGCTTTTAAGAAGGTTTCAGGTAACTGAATTTTTAAATTAACTGTTCTAAACTTTAATTTTCTTATTAACAATACCTATCTCATCATGATGTTTATGAGGATTAAATAAAATTATGCATAAAGTTTGCAATGTCGTAAGTTTGATGAGTGGCAAATAGTGAATTTCTTAATAAAAGAAGTCATCATCATAGGCATCACATTGTTAAAATTATTCAACTGCTCCTAAATTAATAATTTGTTCTAGTATTCAGTAATCCAACTTGTATAGAAAAAATTTTTCTGATTTCTAATGTGAAATAATTATATATTATTAATTATAATTACTATCATCCCACTTACTGTGTACTTTAGTACATTGTGTCTGTTTGTTGTAATTACTACTATATTAGAAAAGGAGACTAAAAAGCAGAGGAGCACTGAAATTAAGAATATTGAAAGGTATTGGCCCAGCAAAATAGTCCATAGTGTGGAAGGAGAAATAAATAGCTACATTTATGCTCCATTCTATTATAATGTAGAAATTTTGTGAAAAAAAAATTGGGGTGGCTATGACAGGAGCAGGAACTTCAAGAAGAGCTCTACCACATATGCTGCAGCAATAAGGCCTTTTAAAGGAATGCATAGGTAGCAGATGTAAGGGTTATTATTTTCTCCTTAATTTTATTTAAGTCCAGCCATTCCAACTTGCTTTACATTTCTAGCAGTGTAAAGCCATTCTGCTCAGGAATCATTGGTTCCCAATCACCACTTTGCCAACTGGAACTCCAACAACCAAGAGCTGTAGGCATAATAATTTTATCCCCTTCAAAAAAAGAAATGTTGATCTCACTACCCATTACCACTAGCATTATCAGGCTCTCTGTAGTTAATAGAATTTACTTTGTGCTAGTGTTTTAATCCCTTCCTATAATGGTCACCTACTGATAGACTTCATGTGTAGTCAAGTTCTCCAAGCCTCAGTATACCCATCTGTTAAGTGGGAATAATAATAGTAGTCCTCTCATTGGCATATCATAAGGGTTAATTAAATAAAATAATACATTTAAAGTTCTTTACACAATA